TGCTTCTTAGCTTCACCCCTGGGGCTGCTTTAAGAGTTTGTCACCCCTTTCCTAATACCTTCCTGTGGATACTGAGGGGAGAGACTCTCTGCCCTGAGTCTCGTCTTTTTGACCTTCTACAGCTGCCTCATGTAGAGCATCGCTCAGAACCTCTTCACCCCATTGTGTGTCCCTCAGTTGCTGCAGCCTGGGAGGGTAATTGTCAGTTGGGAAAGCTCAGCAGAATCTGGAAGATTTGGTGAAATATGGAGAGTAGGGGGAGTGGAAATTGTGCCTGACCATCTGCAGAGGTGGCACAGGGTGCCAGTCCAGGAGAAAGTCTAGCTGGAGGGCAGAACACCTTTTCTGACTCTGCATTAAAGAGCCATCTAGGAGACCAGAAAGGAGAAAAAGGAGTATCTTGGGAGACAGGCCCAGAGTATACATGGGGAAGGCTGTCTGCAGATTCTGGTCTCGAGCCATTCAGCTTTGGGAGGTCCAGCAGCTGGGAGAAAGAGAAAATAGCTCTGGAAGTCATGTCCCATTCCTTCTCACCACTTAGCAGATGTGGTTCCCGTGACTCCAGGGTACTGTGAGGTTCAAGGGCACTTGAGTTTCCCTGGCTCCCAAGCCTGCACCGCTACCTCCCTGTTCACCACCATTCAGCAGTGCAGGAAGCAGCCTTGGCAACACCATTCCAAAGGGAGGCCCCACAACAAGGGATCCTGGCTCCTGGCTCCAACTATACCCAGGCTGGTTCCTGCCTGGAGCAGCAGGAAGCCGTGTGCTGGGGCCTCAGGAATTATGAGCCTGCAGTCAGCATGACCACCTGGCTCAGCAGGCATGCCTTGTGGGCTCTCCCTGGTGCAGTCCTGAGACCAAGGGCATTGGTTGCGTGCTGGCCTCGTCTCCTCTCAATCTGGGGCCCAGGGGTCTCTCTTTCTGGGGTCTGAGTTCAGTCTGTGGTTGGACCTGGAGACTGAGGCCTAGTAAGTGGCTAGAGTATTAGTTTGCTTTTTAAAAAAATATTTTTCAGTTATAGTTATTAATAAAATAAATATCTTAGCTGAGGTTAAGCCCTCTTTGACCACAGCCCTCAGTCTCAGTTTATTTCCTGTATTGTCAGGTCGAGCATGTCCTTTCAGACCTTTTTGGGGTTTATATATACACATGTGTACCTGGAGTCCACAAGAGTGATTTTTATTGTTGTTAGAGTATGATCGCTTGTCACTAAATTAGAGATGAATCAGGGTCCCTGCCTTTGAACATCTAATAACCAAACGCAGAGTAAGATAGATGAATTAACTCATAAATCGGGCTCCTCCTTCATTCATTCAGCATATTTTGTTGAACTCTGCCAGCTGCTCTTGGGCCCTGGAGGTGCAGTGGTGGGTAGAAACAGACCAGCTCTTGCCTTCTTGGCATTTGTAGTCTAGTGAACGAGGCACATGCTCCTCAGATCAAGGAGTGTGAGGGAGTGGAGGCAGTGAGCAGACATTTACCTGTGAAGGAATAGGGAACAATCCATTCTTACTAGAGGAGTCAGAGAATCTACAGTTAGCAGGACAGTTGGAATTGGACCTTAAAGGATAATGTAGCAGTTTCTAGGATGACATGAGAAATCAACAAACATTCCAGGCAAAGGGATCAGTGTGTAATAGATATGGAGAGATGAGTGTGTGCATTTGCAAAGAGTGAGGAACATGAGTGGCCACTGTCATGGAGACGGGGCACTGGGTAAACAGTGAGGGGCCTTGTCGGCTCTGCTCAGAAGTTTGAGCTGTATACTGAAAGCAGAGGAGTTGTTGATTTTGTTGTCATTCTTTGTTTTAATAATATGTGTCATGTATTATTGTTTTATTGAAGTATAGCACAGAAGTGTAGAAAATTGCACAATTCATATGTGTACAGTTTGATGAATCATCTCAAGGGAAATGCACCTCAGTAACCACCACCCAGGTCAAGAACATTCTCAGCCCCCGGCAAGCTCCTTCATGCTCCGCCCAACCTAACCCACTCTTCTGACTTCTAATACTGTGGGTTCATTTTGGCTATTCTCAAGGTATGATACTACTAAGAACAGGAACATTCCTGTGTATATTTCGAGGAGGGGTAGCACAAGGATTCATATCTGTTGGGTATATGTCCAGGAGTGGAATTTGCAATGAAGAGTTATAAAGGGCTCTGTGACATTGTCATAGATGTGCAACAAAAGTCGACCCTGGCAGCGGGGTCAAAGATGGCCTGGAGGGTATGGTTCCAGGCTGCAGGGGAAAGCTGGGAGGCTGTGGTCATGATTCAGAGCTCCCCAATGCAAGGCTGACTGATTTTAGCCTCCCCAGTGCCTGGGACAGATGTCTTTAAAGTTGCTTGTGAGGGCTGTGGCAGAATTTAAGACAGTTATGAAGACTTGGATGTCAAGATGTTGGGGAACATGAGGAGTTAATTAAGTCCTGGATGGCAAAGCAGGAAGGATGCTTGGAACTATGATGGTGGGGTAGGACAAAGTAGAGTTTGGTGAGGAGAGTCAAGTTGGAATCCTGAGTTTGAGGGTCCTGTGGGATGTCCAGAGTTTTGTTAGCAGTTGAGTCAGCAGGTAGAACACTCAGAAGGCAGATCTGTGCTGGTGACATTGTAAGCCACCAGCACAAAGCCCAGTGCATCAGTCAGGGTGCCTAGGTTGTGGGTAACAGAAAACCTAATTCAAAGTGATTAAAAACATTTATTCCTGTAAAGAAGTCTGCATATCAGACAGCTGCAGCACTAGTTAATTCATTGGATTAACAGTGTCACCCAGTATCCAGAGTCCTACTGTTTTTCTGCTTTGCCATTCCATATTTGTTGACTTTGTCCCAAAATAGACCCCTCATGGTTATACGATGCCTGATGTGTCTAGACATGACTTCTCAAATCTCTTTGCCTGTGGTTATGTCCCAGCCCACACCCAAGCAACCACTTACAAAGAGGTTGGGACCCCTGCATTAAGGTTTACCTTCTAGCATTCACTACTTTATTCCTCTTGTTGATGGAGAGTGAGGCGACTGTGGGGAAGTTAACCTAAGGCATGCAATGGAAGGTAACTCAAGCCTTAGAAAGGAGAGGATGTGGACAGAAAGGAACTGAAGACAAAGCGTGAAGGAAAATCAGGATTTTATAAGGTCGGGAGGTCTACAACTTCTGGCCTCCTGAACTTGGGGGTTTACTGTTTGGAGAAAGATGACTTTGGATGGGCTGGGATGAATCCAGGGGTGGGAAAGGATAGGTCAAGAGCCGTGTGTGCCACAGGGCAATAAGTAGTTTGGCGGCAGCCTGATCTTGTCCTCAGCTTGGTTCAATCTGTCCTTTAACAGGGAGTTTCTCAGCTGTGGAGTTGGAATCTTCATAATCAAGATTGTTTTTTCTTGAGAAAGTGTATTAGTTCTGGTTGAGTCAGTCACACAAAGCTATCATGAAACCTGAGAACTATCCAGAGTTGAAAAGTCTATGCCCATTTTGAAGAATCAAGGATTATTAAACTTTGGTGAAATTTCTAACTTTGTAGTCTTCCTAACTGGGGAAAGGAAATACAATCCTTTAAATTAAATTAAAAAAATTAAAAAGTCAGGAGAAGGAAGAGGAGCCCTTTTTGGAGGCCAAGATGGAACGATTAGAAAGGTCAGCATAGGACAGGGGATATGGTCATGGAAGCCAGAGTGGAGAGCGCAGAGGTGTGCCTGGCACACAATAGGAGTCTACTACATGTTTGCGTGGTGGGGTGGAAGATGCCCTAGCACAGAGAGAGCAACGGAAAGGAGGTTAGAAGAGCCAATGGATTCACTCATTTGAAGTTCACTGCTTTCTTTATGGAGAGGGGCATTGCTGCAGGGTGCCGGGGGCAGTCAGAGGCTTGCACAGCCCTGAATTATGATGAGTGATGACGGGAACTCATTCAAAATTTGGTGATGCTGAGAAGGATGGGGAAGCCTTCCATGGCAGGGCAGGTCGAGAGAGGGGGTTTATTTTTACTTTTGGGTTGGCGGGTACTTGGTCTTATGTGTAGGCAGGGAAAGATAGTGCACAGGAACGTGTCAGCTTGCAGATCACATAAGAGGAGATATAGGGTGGTGGACGCTGCCTGGAGGCAAGACTCCAGTCACTGGGGAGTGCCTATGCCTGTGAACTAAAGGGTAAACCATGCTCTGCTGGATGGGGTGTGGTAGTTGATAGGACAGTTACACAGCTGCCCTGGGGCCAGATGCTTCCTGAAGACCAGGACTGACATAAAGGTGGCACCTCCATGCTTGGTGACATGATTTTCTTCTGAACTTTTAGGAGAGGGCAGACTTATAACTCTATCAGAGCTGGTAAGCACTCTGAATTTCACAGGTTTGTAGATAAGCGAAAGAGAGAAACTAAGGTGTAAAGAAACCATAAACAATGAGTCTTTAAAGGACGTGGCCCAATCCCTTCACGTCCATGCCTGGCGACATGTCTTATTGCACAGTTTTATAGGTGACTCTCCAGGGCCCCAAAGATGAGTGGATCTGCACACTTTCACACAGCTCTAGTCTTAGGGAACGGGGGACCGTAGGCCTCCTGTGTCCTAGCTGACAGTTGTTTTTTTCTTTTCAGCTCTAGCATTCCAAAACCAGGAGGAGCTTCTAGTATAGGGGTCACAGGTATCTATAGGGGCCTGGGAGGTCAAATAAATCAGTAGAATCAGATGGGGCATTACAAATTGAGTGGCAGGCAATCTAGTTGCATGTTAAATAGGTTGGAATAGTTTTTACTTCACAAAGAAATGTTTTCTCTTCTGGTTTTTCTTGAAGCATACTTCCCTTTCATTCCTTTTATTTTTAATTTTTATTTTTTATGTTTGATAGAGATCTGGATAGAGGTACATTCTATCTATTTTGACAAATCCAGAGTCCTCATATGATACTCAGTGAAACTTGTACTTGGCCACAGTGCCTGAGAGCAGCAGAGCAGGCCTGGGGCCACCTGGGAGTTCCTGTCCTTAATACAGCAGTGCCACCCTTCAGCCCTGGCTGTCCCAATTCATGAGAACCTCCCCACTTTAAAACTGGTGATTCATTCTTATTTCTATAAACACATTGTGCACACCCGACAAAGCATGCCTGCAAGCTAGACCCAGCCTCACCCCCAATTTTCCCAGGTGCTAACGACCAGGGAGAGAAAGGGGCTCTTGAGGCCACTGGTGGTGTTCACTGAATAGTATTAGGAAAATTTCATGGCTTCATCATTATTTTGTATTTAGTGTAAAGCCATTTTTGAAACTAGTTAGTCTTATTCATTTACTTTATAGGGAGTGAAAAGTAACATTTTCTTGAAATGTCCACGATACGCCAATATGTGTGTGTGGATTGAGCTTCTTATTCTGTCTCCATCAGCACTGGCCCGTGTTTGTGGAGATTAAAGACCTGTTGACGTTGGTGCCACCCCTCGTGGGCCTGAAGGGGAACCTGGAGATGACACTGGCATCACGACTCTCTACAGCTGTAAGTAGATATCTGGACATCAGGGCCACCTACCTGCAGGGAAGGACATCTCCATACCACCAGGTGTCCCGGAAGTAGCTAGTAGGTGGGTGGGTCAAACTCTCCGAAAAGACAAATGTTAGGTTTTGTTCTGTCATGATGCTCTATCTGGTCACTCTTCCCAACCTGTCCTATTTTTCCATGGCCAGTCATATCTACTGGTGAGATGGGTTTCTCATTTAACCCAATGTCAGATAGGGCTCTGAGTCCCTGTGCCCAAGTCTGTGTGCTGCCCCTGCTCAGCCGCCTGGACCCTGCTCCACACATTCACAGTGAAGACATAATGAGCACCACAGGCTTGATGGAGGATTGAATGCTGTTAACGATCTCTGTGATGGGGTGGATATTCTCCAGAGGGCCTCCTTGAATGCCTGCAACCAGAGGTATTTTCCTCTGGGCTCTAACATGGTTTCTAGCTTTGCCACACTTCTCACCTCTCCCAGCTATCCCGGGAATTGATTCTTTTCCTCTTCTCTGATGCTCATTTGATATCCAGTATGTGAAAAAGGTTTGTGGCAAGATGAAGTACGGCATGTTCAAGAAACTGAGAGAAGAGCTGAAGTGCAGAGGGCAAGGGATGGGGGCTACTTGGAACAGGGGGCTGGAGACAAAGGTGACGGGTGATCAGCTGAACAACAGCCCCCAAAGATGTCCATGCCCAAATCTTTGGGGGCTGTTGTTCAGCTTACCTGTGAATGTTACTTACATGGAAGAAGTTTTTGCAGATGTAGTTAAGTTAAGGACCTTGACATGGGAGAGCATCCTAGATTACCCCAGTGTCATCAAGGGTCCTTATAAACGGGAGGCAGAGGGGAGTTTCAGACAGCAGAGAAGAAGGCCTATGAGAGAAACAGAGTCCAGAGAGAGGATGCTCTGCCATTGGCTTTGGAGATGGAGGAAGAGCTACAAGCCAAGAGATGTAGCTCTACCTGCTGGAAAAAGCAAAAGAACAGATTCTCCCCTAGAGCTTCTGGAGGGAACGAGGCCCTGCTGACATTTTGATTTTAGCCCCATAACACTCATTTCAGACCCTTGGCCTCCAGAACTGTAAGAGAATAAATTTCTGTTGTTTTAAGCCACTAAATTTGCAACGATTTGTTGTAGCAATAATAAAGAACTGACCATGGGGCTAGATTATGTAGAGCACTGTAGGATCTTGAAATGTTTCAAGCAGCAAGTAGTGACATGATGCAGACATGCACACACACACATGTACATGCATGCCCACATATGCACATACACACGCACACACACAATTATATTGGTCAGTGTTTGGGAGGGGAAAAAATAATGTTGGCTATCTCTGTCATATTGGCATTTCAGGTGGTACATTTTTATTTCATAATGCTTGACTGCATTTTAAACACTTCCCTATAATGATCATATCTTAGTCTTGTATTTCTTTTAAAAAACATAAAATATGGAGAGGAAAAAATGATTAGTGTAATTCATTACAGTGGTCTATCCAAGAACAGCCTCATTATCATCACATTAAAGGCATTCAACACTCATTCTTTTTTTTTTGTAATCATTGTATTAAGGTATAAATTATTACAATAAAAACTCACAAATTTTACATGTATAGGTCACTGACTTTTTACAAATTTATCTGTCTATCTTTCTATCTATACACCCATGTAATTACTACCCCAACCGAAATATAGAATATTTCCATCTCCCCTAAAAAATTCTCTCATTTCATTTTACAGTCAGTTCAGTCTCTCCCACTACTCCATCCTGGCAGCCCGTGATTCAGTTCCAATCTCAATAGATGAGTTTTTCTTTCAACACCCATTCATGATTTTAAAAAAATACTCTTAGTGCAACTTGAAAGAGAAGAATATTTTATTTATATTGTTCTGGATGTTTTAGCTGATGTAATAAGCCACGGAAAGCAAATGAGAGCCTTAAATATTGGAAAGGGGGAGAAAAACTTGGCATTGATATGCTTATCTCCCTAGAAAACTCTAAGCAAATCACCTGTTAAAACTAATAAGCTCAGTAAAGTGACCCTTTTTTTTTTAAGATTTTTATTAAAATGTACCTAACACAATATTATATTAGTTCCAGGTATACACCGTATTTATTCAACATTTATATACCTAAAAAAGTGATCACTATGATAAGTCCAGTAACCATCTAACACTGTACAATGCTATCACAATATTATTGACTGTATTCCTTATGCTGTACACCACATCCCAATGACTGTTTTGTTTTATGCGTGGAAATTTGAACCTCTTATTCTCCTTCACCCTTCTCCCCACCCCCCTTTATAAATTTTTCAATTACAGTTGACATTCAATATTATTTTATATTAGTTTCAGATATATAGTGTAGTGGTTAGACATTTATGCAATTTACAAAAGGATCTCCCTCATTAGTCTAGTACCCAACTGCCACTATACATAAGTTACCACATTTTTTTACTGTATTTCCAATGTTTTTCTTTACATCCCCATGATTATTTCATAACTGCCAATTTGTACTTCTTAATCCTTTCACCTTTTATACCCCACCCCCTAACCCTCCTCCCATCTGGCAACCAGCAGCTCGTTCCCTACATCTATTAGTCTGTTTCTGTTTTGTTTGTTCGTTTATTTTGTTCTTTAGATTCCACAACATATAAGTGAGATTATATGATATTTGTCTTTCTCTGTCTGACTTATTTCACTTAGCATAATACCCTCCTGGTCCATTCATGTTGTTGCAAATGGTAAGAGTTCATTCTTTTTATTGACCAAGTAATATTCCTTTGTATATATGTACCACAATTTCTTTATCCAGTCTATTGATGGGCGCTTAGGTTGCTTCCATATCTTGGCTATTGTAAATAATGCTAATAATGTTGAAATCAATATAGGAGTGAATAAATCTTTTTGAATTAGTGGTTTGGATTTCCTTGGGTAAATACCCAGAACTGTAATTGCTGGGTCATAAGGTAGTTCTATTTCAAGTTTTTGAGGAACCTCCATACTGTTTTCCATAGTGACCACACCAATTTGCAGTCTCCACATTTTCACCAGCACTTGTTGGTTTTTGATTTATTGATGATGATAGCCATTCTGACAGGTGTGAGGTGATATCTCATCGTGGTTTTAAATTGCATTTCTCTGATGATTAGTGATGTTGAGCATCTTTTCATATGTCTGTTGGCCATCTGCATGTCCTCTTTGAAGAAATGTCTATTCAGGTCCTCTGCCCATTTTTGATTTTTTGATGTTAAGTTGCATAAGATATTTATAAATTCTGGATATTAACCCCTTATCCGATAGATCATTGGTGAATATCTTCTCCCATTCAGTAGGTTGTCTTTCCATTTTGTTGATGGTTTCCTTTGCTGTGCAAAACCTTTTTAGTTTGATGTAGTCCCATTTGTTTATTTTTATTTTGTTTCTCTTGCCCAGAGAGACATCAGAAAAAATATTACTAGGAGCAGTTTCAGAGAATTTACTGCCTATGTTTTCTTCTAGGAGTTTTATGGTTTCAAGTCTTACATTTAAATCTTTAATTCATTTTGAGTTTATTGTATATGGTATAGGAAGATGGTCCAGTTTCATATTTTTGCACATATCTGTCCAGTTTTCCCAATACCATTTACTAAATAGACTGTCTTTACCCACTGTATATTCTTGCCTCCTTTGTCATAGATTAATTGGCCACATAGGCATGGACTTATATTCTGTTCCATTGATCTATATGTTTTTATGCCAGTACCATGCCATTTGATTACTATAGACTTGTAGTATAGTATCAGGTAATGTAATACCTCCAACTTTGTTCTTCTTTCTTAAGATTGCTGTGGCTATTTGGGGTCTTTTGTGGCTTCATATAAATTTTAGAATTATTTGTTCTAGTTCTGTGAAAAATGCCATTGGTATTTTGATAGGGATTGCATTGAATCTATAGATTGCTTTGGGTACTATGGACATTCTAATGATATTAATTCTTCCTATCCATGAGCACAGTAAATGCTTCCATTTATCTGAATTGTCTTCAATTTCTTTCTTCAATGACTTACAATTTTCCAAGTACAGGGTTTTTTTACCTCCTTGGTTAAGTTGATTGCAAGGTATTTTATTGTTTTTGATACAACTGTAAATGAGATTGTTGTGTCATCTTTGCACAGGGGCCATGATAATCTTCTCTGTATCATTCCAATTTTAGTATATGTGCTGCCGAAGTGAGCACTATTTTATTTTATTTTTGATGCAATAGTAATGGGATTGTTTTCTTAGTTTCCTTTTCTGATAATATATTATTGGTATATAGAAATGCAACTGATTTCTGAATATTAATTTTGTACCCTGCTATTTTACTGAATTCATTTATCAGTGCTAATAGTTTTTTGGTGGAATTTTTAGGGTTCTCTATATATAGTATCATGTCATCTGCAAATAACAGTTTTACTTCTTCCTTTCCAGTTTGGATGCCTTTATTTCGTTTTCTTGTCTGATTGCTGTGGCTAGGACTTCCAATACTATGTTGAATAAAAGTGGTGAAAGTGGACATCCTTGTCTTGTTCCTGCTCTCAAGGATACTTTTAGCTTTTCCTCATTGAGTATGATATTAGCTATGGGTTTGTCATAGATGGCCTTTATTTTGTTAACTTGTGTTCCTTCTATTCCCTCTTTGCTGAAAGTTTTTATCATAAATGGATGTGGGATTTTGCCAAAGCCTTTTTCTGCATCTATTGATATGATTATATATTTTTTATCCTTCGTGTTGTGTATGTGGCGTAGCACATTAATTGATTTGCAGATATTGAACCAACCGTGTATCCCAGTAATAAATCCTACTTGATCATAGTGTATGATATTTTTAATGTATTGCTGAATTCAGTTTGTTAATATTTTGTAGAGAATTTTTGCAGCTATGTTCATCAGGATATCAGCCTATAGTTTTTCTTTTTTTTTTTTTGTAATGTCTTTGGCTTTGGAATCAGAGTAATGGTGACCTCATAAAATGAGCTTGGGAACCCTTCATCCTCTTGAATTTTTTGGAATAGTTTGATAGGAGAAGGATAGGTGTTAATTCTTTGAACGTTTGATAAAATTCACCTGTGAAACCATTCAGTCCAGGACTTTTGTTTGAGAGGAGTTTTTTTATTATTGATTTGATTTTGTTAGTAGTAATCAGTCTGTCAGTCTGTTCAGATTTTCTGTTACTTCTTGAGTCAGTCTTGGAAAATTGTATGTTTCTAGGAATTTATCCATTTCTTCCAGGTTGTCAAATTTGTGGGCATATAATAGTTCACAGTGTTTTCTTATAATACTTGGCATGTCTGTGGTGTCAGTTATGACTTCTCTTTAATTTCTGATTTTATTTATCTGGGGTCCTTTCTCTTTTTTTCGTAATGAATCTGGTTAAAAGTTTCTCAATTTTGTTTATCTTTTCAAAGAACCAGCTCTTGGTTTCATTGATCATTTGTATTGTTTTTTAGACTCTATTTTGTTTATTTTTGCTCTAGTCTTTATTTATTTACTTCTACTCACTTTGGGCTTTGTTTGCTATTCTTTTTCTAGTTTCTTTAAGTGTGAGGTTAGATTGTTTATTTGAGATTTTTATTGTTTGTTGAGGTAGACCTGTATTGCTGTGATTTTCCCTCTTAGGACTGCTTTCGTGCTGTCTCATAGATTTTGGATTTCTGTGTCTTCATTTTCATTTGTCTCAAGGTATCTTTCGACTTCTTCTTTGATCTCATTGTTAATTCAATCATTGTTTAGTAGCATGTTAGTTAGCCTCCACGTATATATATGATTTTCAGGTTTTTTTCTTGTAATTAATTTCTAGTTTCAGAACATTGTTTTCAGAAAAGATGCTTGGTATGATTTCAGTCTTTTTAAGTTTATTGAGACTTGTTTTGTGGCCTAACATGTTTTCTGTCTTGGAAATGTTTCACGTGCACTTGAAAAGAATGTATAGTCTGCTGCTTTGGGGTGAAATGCTCTAAAAATAGCAATTAAATCCATCTGATTTAATGTGTCATTTAAAGCTGCTGTTTCCTTGTAGATTTTCTGTTAGAAAGATCAATCCCTTGATGTCATTGGAGTGTTAAAGTCCCATACTGTGACTGTATTACTGTCTATCTCTCCCTTTGTGTCAGTTAATATGTTTTACGTGTTTAGGCACTCCTATGTTTGGTGCACAAATGTTTACTGGGGTTATATCCCCTTGCTGGATTGATCCCCTTTTCATTATGCAGTGTCCCTCTTTGTCTCTTATTATAGCCTTTGTTTTAAAGTCTGTTTTTTCTGATATTAGTATTGCTACCCCAGCTTTTTATTGTTTGTTTTGTTTTCACTTGAATTAAATATCTTTTCCATCCCTTTATTTCAGTCTGTGTATATCTTTAGATCTGAAGTGTGTCTCTTGTAGACAGCATATGTATGGGGGATCTTGTTTTCTTATTTATTTAGCTAGCCTATGTCTTTTGATTAGAGCACTTAATCTATTTACATTTAAAATGACTATAGTTATGTAGTTATTGCCATTTTATTATTCGTATTTATGTTCTCTTCCTCCCTTTTTTAAAAGAAGTCCCTTTAACATTTCTTGTTTACTGGTTTGGTGGTGATGAATTTCTTCAGGTTCCTGTCTGGGAAGCTCTTTATCATTTCTTCCTCCATTTTAATTGATAGCATTGCTGGGTAGCCTAGTCTTGTTGTAGTTTCTTGCTTTTCATCACTTTGAATACTTCATGCCAGTGCCTTCTGGCCTGCAAAGTTTCTGTTGAGAAATCAGCTGACAGACTTATGGGACTCCCCTGTAGGGAACTAACTGCTTTTCTCTTGCTGCTTTTAAGATTCTTTTTGTTTTTAACCTTTGATATTTTAATCATGATGTGTTTTCGTGTGTGCCTCTTTGGATTTATCTTGTTTGGGACTCTCTGTACTTCCTGTACTTGTATGTCTATTTTCTTCACCAGATTAGGAAAATTTTCAGTCATTATTTTTTCAGATAGATCCTCAACCCCGTGTTTTCTTTCTTCTCCTTCTGGTACTCCTATGATGTGAAAGTTGTTACGCTTGATGTTGTCCCAGAGGCCCCTTAAATTATTTTCATTCTTTTTAAATTCTTTTTTCTTTTTTCTTTTCAAATTGGGTGTTTTCTGCTACCTTGTCTTCTAAATTGCTGGTTGAATCCTGTGCTTCATATCTGTTGTTGATTTCTTACAGTGTATTTCTTATTTCAGTTATTGTAGTCTTTTATTCTTACTGATTATTTTTTATGGTTTCTATGTCCTTTTTTATGTTTACTGTCTCTTTGTTGAAGTTTCACAACTAAGTTCCTTAAGCATCTATATAACCAGTGTTTTGAACTCTGTATCTGGTAGATTGCTTGTCTCCATTTCATTTAGTTCATTTTCTGGAGATTTTTTCTGTTTTTTCACTTGGGACGTGGTTTTTTTTGTTTCATCATTTTGGCTGCCTCTCTGTGTTCATTTATATATATTAGGTAGATCTGCTACGTCTCCCAGTTGGCACGGTGGCCTGTGGGGCCCAGTGGCACAGTCTCTTGTCACCTGAGCCTGATGTTCCAGTAGTACCCCTTATACTGGGTTGTATATGTCCTATTGTTGTAGTTTAGTCTTGATTGCTGTTGTCCCATCAGTGGATTAGATTGACCCTAAGACTTACTGGCTGTGAGGATTGGCGACAACCAAAGAGTACAAGCTGTTGTGAAAGGGCTGACCCCACAAAGCAGGATTCACCCCAGCAGGCTCTGGTGCTTGCCAAGACCACCCTTTGGGTGTGCAACTTGTGGGGCTAACCAAGTGGTGTTCTGTTGCGGTTTGAAGCCAACCACCGGGTATGCTGGTTCTGGTACCTTTGAGGAGGGGCTTCTGTGCAGCCCAAAGTCAGCCGTTGCCTGTGACTGGTCCAGGGCTATCTGGTAGGAGCTACAAAGTGATCCACCATTGGTTGCTGGTTACTGTCTGTGCTGGATCTGGAGGTTTGTGGAAGAGGCCATGCTGCGAACCGAGGTCAGTTTTTACCAGTACTGGGTCTGAGGCCACTCAGCATAGGCCCAGGGTACCCTGAGGCCTGCCACTGCCTGCTTGCTTTCCAGAAAGCAGCTTCTGGAAGAGCCTAGGGTGGTATGGGATTTGGGTGGGGCAGGGTATCAGAGTCACCACTGTAGGAGAGTGGTGTTTAACGAGTTAATGCAGATTAGGTTTTGAGTTAATGCAGATTCAGATTTGATGCCAGTTCTGAGCCTGGGGCCACTCCACAAAAGGCTCAGAGCACACTGAGGTCAGCTGCTGCCTGCCTGGGACCTGCAGACCTCCAAAAGTTGTCCAAGAAAGACTTTAGTGTGGATCAACACCAGCTGTCCACAGGCTGCTGAAACAGCCTCTGGTGGTACACGAATTAGTGATGCAGGGTCTCAGGAAGTCACCAGTGTGGGTCGAGTGGTGTTCAGTGGGTTAATGCAGATTCAGAAATGGTGTCAGTGCTGAGCTTGGGGCCACTTTGTAAAAGTCTCAAGAGCACATCAAGCCTAGCTGCCACCTATTTGAGGTCCGCATGCTGGCAAGAGTTGTCTAAGAAAGACTGCAGCATTGGCCAACACCATCTACAGCAGCCTCAAAAAAACTTCTGGTTGTGTGCAGGTTGGATGGGGTGGAGTCCCAGGGAGTCATCAGGGTGTAGTGAGCAGCACTCACCAGGCCAATGAAAACTCAAGTTTGGCCATGTTGGGGGACGGCTGAACACAGGATGTTGTAGCCGCCAGCCCCCGAAAGACACACGGACCACCAGGAATCAATGAGTCATAGGAATCACACTCTTTATTCAGCCAGCTGGGTCTGCCAGCGGTACGCAGACCCCAAATCAAGCAGCCCCGAAATGTAGAGGTACAGGGTTTTTAAGCCTAAAATCCCATTCTTCATTCTGTCTGAACACAAAGGTCTATTTTTCTCCTATTCACTACCTGTCAACCTATAGGTCGGGGTGTGCAAGTGGGGAGTACAGAAGCAGAATGCTTGTTACCAGAATGTTATATCCCTATGATCAAAAGCCTTTTGTTCCCATGGCAATAGTCAAACAGTAATTTTCCTACAAGTAATAAATCTCAAGTAGTCATTCTTCAGGCACCACGAGGACAATGGCGGCTTTCCCTCCAGCCCTCGCTCTGAAGACACACACTCAGTGTCTCCCTATATGTCTCTGGCAGCTCCTGAGCTG